CGCCGCCATCACCATCACCATCATCACACCGCTCGACCTCTCCTCCTCCGCTGTCTCCTCCTCCTCCTGCTGCCACACCTCCTCTAATTCTCGACATACTCATGTCTTCCCCCTCCTGCTCCGCCCCATCATCCCCGTCGTTCCTCCCTCCTTCCCCCACCCCTCATTATCCTGCTCCTACACTGCGGTCTCCTCATCTGCCTGCTCCTCCAACTGCTACACCAATTACTCTCCGCCTACAGCTTGCCTACACCAGCCGCAGCATCATCATCAGCACCTTCATCACCACATCACCAACATCCTCATCATCATCAGCATCATCAGCATCATCAGCATCATCAGCATCATCAACATCAACATCCAAATCAGCATCAACAACAACATCATCATCATCAGCATCAGCATCATCATCATCATCATCATCATCATCATCATCATCATCATCATCATCATCATCATCATCATCATAATGATAATAATCATCAGCATCATCATCATCATCATAATCATCATCATCATCAGCATCAGCATCAGCATCATCATCAGCATCAGCATCATCATCATCAACATCACCATCATCATCAGCATCATCATCATCAGCATCATCGTCGTCATCGTCGTCGTCGTCATCATCATCACCATCATCGTCATCGTCATCGTCATCGTCATCATCATGATCATCATCATCATCATCATCATCATCATCATCATCATCATCATCATCATCATCATCATCATCATCATCATCATCATCATCCTGTCCTCCTGCGCCTCCTACCATCCCTGCCTCAGTTTCTCTCCTCCTCGTCCTCCTCCCGCTTCACTACCTGTTTCATCCATCTCCCCACCCAACCTCCGCCTCAATCCCCTGTCCCACCCTCATCCCTCTTTCCTGCCCCATCTCTCCGTCCTGCCCCGACCATCCTGCTTCATCCTTCTATCCTGCCTCACCCCTCCTTCTGCTGCACCACTGCTCCACCCTCATCCCCCCATCCTGCCCTACCCACCCCCCCGCCCAAGTCCAAGGGTGCTCAAAGCTGGAACCCTTCGAACCTGCCTCGCTGCTCCTGCTGCTGCGCTGGCAGGGTGCTGCCGAGATCCTGCCTCGCTGCAGGGCAGGGGGGCCGGAGGAACACCGAGACAGGCCGCGGCCATGCCAGGTCGTGATTTGGATCGCACGCTGGCTCCAGGGTCCAAAGCCTTGCGCGTGCCTAGGGTCCGTTGCATCGTGCGGTGTCCCCCTGCCCCTCACCGTGGCTGTCCCAAGGCTGCCGCCGATCGCAAGCCGATCGAGTCGCCTGCGTGGTCGAGTCGGCCGGATCGAGCATCACGCGTGAGCCCCGGCGCCAGATGCGCCGCCAAGGAGCTCCAGCGTCGATCCAAGAAATCCGCGCCGACCTCTCGGAAAATTGCTGTGTGTGGCGTTTGTCGTCCCTGGACTGGATGCCGAAATGGAAGGAAGAATCTCCCGTGATGATTCTTGGACGGCGCGAGGTGGGTCTTCGAGTAGGGGATCGACTACATAATCAATCGACCTCGAAGTCTGATTTTCCCAATCGAATCTACGACAAGACGTAGCATCTTCGCAATTCAACCGAGAATTCTGACATGTTTGTTTCCCCATATCCTAAGATGGGGTTCTTGTTATTTCTTGGACGCCGCCGGCTCCAGAGAATAATAACACACCCAGAACACAGACTTACTCATGCAAAGACTTACTCATACTCAGACTTCCTCATACCCAGACGTACTCATACACAGACTTACTCATACTCAGACTTACTCATACCAAGATTTACTCATACACAGCGCTACTCATACTCAGACTTACTTATATTCAGACCTACTCATACTCAGACTACTCATACCAAGACGTACACATACACAGACTTACTCATACACAGACTTACTAATACTCAGACTTACTCATACCCAGACGTATTTATATACAGACTGACTCATACTCAAACCTACACATACTCAGACCTTCTCACAGTCTGAGTTACTCGACACACTGCAGATTTTGAGGATGTCTCAGGCGGGGCGCTGGCTTCAGCACCCCTAAGGGGAGCCGCCAGGGGTGTTTCCACGGGCCCGTTCGCGGCCAGTTTGTGGGGATGTCTCAGGCGGTTTGCTCGTTTTCATGCCCAACTTCATTTGCTTTCAGAGCAGATTGTAAGGATGTCTCAGGCGGGGCGCTGGTTTCAGCACCCCTACGGGGAGCCGCCAGGGGGTAGAACGCTCATGAGCAGACGCTCACTACGGCATGACATAAAACATGAGATGCACAGATGGGGAGCTCCACGCAGTGAGTAATTTTCCGTAGATTCGACGCGAAAGTAAAAATTATGGGGAAAATCAGTGCGGTCGTCGATCCCCTACTCGAGGCCTGGGCCCTCGCCGCTCGCCACTCGGCCCGCACCGGGGCGCCCCCGCCGCTCGGCCGCCTCCGGCGCGTGCCGGAAGAAGCTGGCGATGTGGGCGTAGTGCTCGGGGTCCT